ATTCATTTTTCCAGACATGCCTAAATGTTCAGAAACCTCTGAAACGTAAAGATATATAAAAAAAAATATTTTAGATTTTTTTGCGATTACTATAACTACCTTGGAAAGTTAAATATAGAAAATATTTGCAAGTAATATAAATTGAACTACATCCGAAAAAAGTAATGGATCTGTATGAATTTAATGCAAAAATTACAATGATTTATTATTTGTTGCGATTATTTGATAAATTTATTAATATTTCATAAGCAACACTTATAATTTCCTAATCGTAAACGTATCGAATAATATTATTAATTATTGAATATCATTTTTGTATTTGTTGAAGCAATAAAATAATATTTATTTTTTTGGCTAAGATCTAGAATAAAATTTTCTTCTTGAAGGTGGTTTTAAACCTATATCATACTGCCGTAAATCATTATCTTTACATTTCTTTTTTATTTGTATTATTTTCTTGATTTTTGACATTCAAATTGCTTTAGTTCTTTCTATAGTAAATTTATATGTAATAACTCATATATTATTAATTCATATATTATTTCAAATAAGCTTTATTGAAGATCTGCAAAAATGACAAAAGCAATAACTGATAAAAAAATGTACAAAATACTAATTTTTGTGCTTGAATTTTATTCTTTTTATTTTTTTTCTATTAGACTTACTGATATAATGATAGAAATATATGATCATAAAACAATGTACGAGTATTTATATATCGAAGTAAATTCAGAAAATTGTGCTTTACTAATAAATAAAATAAACAAATATTTTAAAATAATTCAAATTGAATTTAGTTATTTAGAAATAACTCGAGTATTAGAGTATAGTACTTTAAACTTTTATATTAAAGTTTAAAAGTAAAATCCTCGTTCGATCTACAAAGCATACTAGTCGAAATTCTAAAAAAAACTAAATATGTTTAGCAGAGTTGTTATTAATTTATTATATGAGTCCAATTTTTGTAGCAATATATCTTATTCAAATTGATTTAAACCAAGCTATTGAAACAATAAAAAAATAAATAGCAAGTCAATGTGGAATGAAGGCTATTTCAAAACTATGAAAGCGAATGTGAATGTACTGAAATCATAGAAATTGATAACTGATATGTTAATGTAAGTATGGCAATAATTCAGTATATTTTTAAGTGATAGTATTAGTCATATAGATAGTTAACAGAAACACAAAATAAACAAAATAAGTTGATTTCTTATGTAAATGTATAATATCATTTTTAATAAACTTGAAGAATGAAACTTAATCAACTAAATTAATCTGATTTATATAATACACACGCAGTCCTGATTCCAATGAAATGTTAGTTTTGCAAAAGTTTGTGAGTGAATTAGATACATCCTCATAACATTAATCTGAATTAAAGCTATTCTGTTAAAATCTCATTTGAGATATATATTTATATAGATATTGAGAAAATAATATTTCAATGAATTTATAAAAAAACACAAATAACTAATATGAATATATTAAAAAAAATTAATTATTAAATAATGAAGTGTAGATTTTATGCAATTATTAATTTGTATAATAATTATATATTCCATATAATAAATAATTAATATTGATATCGTTTCTGAAAACTATTTGTCCACACTAGTACAAATTTGTAGCAATTGTGCTATAAATTGTTATGGTTGACAAACTCAAGAACGTTTAATTCCAAATGTTTAGAGTCTTCTATAGAATATTTTATCAAAATAATAAGATATGATTTCTATAGCAAAGCTTGTAAAAATAATCTCTTATAAATAAATGAGACTAAGCATTATGTAAAAATACTACTGACCAAAAAACCCAGAAACGTGTTTAATCGACCATTAATGTCTATTGTTCCGGCTTAATTCTTTTTGGAGCATCATGATTTTATATTAAATCGACAAAAATGTGCAGTAGGTAATATGATTATTTGATTATTAGAGATTTTAAAGACTTTTAAATAAATTCTATATCTACTCTACATAAATACTCTACATAAATTAATAAAAGTTAATATGACAAATTAACGTGTAAAAATTATTTAATTATATATTTATATAGTGCTATATCATTTATATTTTGTGTAAAAGCAATCGAATCAAAAAAATTATTACAGCATAACGAATGTGATGTGCTACAGATGTTTATTTAAATATTTTCTAATATGAAATATAAATAAATTAAATCAATAAATAATATATTAAATGTCATTTTTTATTTAAATTATCATGGCATATACAAATATGAATGGATAATAATGAGGTATAAAATGAAATGTATGAGTTAAATTTTAAGTCAAGATTATGAACTAGAATCTGGGAATCTCATAAGATTCTTTACCCAACAATATGATGTGACCCGCATAAAATAATTTCTTACAAATTACGTTTAAAAAACGCACAACGCGCCTCTTTGCGAATCGCACGACTCATAAAAAATAAATGTTTTGCGAAATTAGGTTGTTTGCAAGCTAACTGTTACACGCGGATGATTCAATTCAGATTCTGTAACAAAGTAGTATTGTCCATAATTTTATTCATATATTCTTTTTAATTGTATATATTAATAGGTAATATGCATATGAAAAGTTTAGTTATGGTATCGAAATGTTTGTGATTTGCTATTGTGATTTCAGGAAGTACATACCGGATGTGCAAATAGTATATGATGTTACATTGAGAATTTTACCTATGTTAATTTGTGCATGAATAGAAGTTATTAACTTCATGTAGGGTAAGTTATTGTAATCGACCAAAAATCGAAATTGAAATTTTTTACATTTCTTCACGTTTTGAAGTTTTCTGAAAATTTTGGCATACCTCAGAAGAAATTGATGTGTGTATGTACTCGTATGTGTGTGTGTATGTATGTATAGATGGATACAATTTTTTGTCCACGATTTCAAAAAACAATCGATTTTTATTGATAGGGAGATGTGCTGATTAGTTTTTGGCAAAGATAGGTCCAGCCGTTACGGAGTTAAAAAGCAAAGAATGCAGAAAATAGAAATCGAATTTTTGAGGGAACGGAGCATCCGATTTGAATGATCTAAAAAACATTCAATTTGTAATGATTGGGAGAAGTGGGGATTAGTTTGTGCAAAGGCAGGTCCAGTCATTTAGAAGATACAGAGCTAAATGTACAAAAAATGGCAGTTATTGAGAGAAATAAGCATCCGATTTGGATGATTCAAAAAACTTTCTGCTTGCGTTGACGAAATAATTGCTTTTTTTCAATTTCTTTCCAATTTTTTTTTGTTTATCGAAAATAATTCTAATTTTATTTTTAACTCTGGTTGAAATTCCAAAACTCTCTTATATACTTTAAGTGAATGATTTTAACTTTGTAATTCAGTTTTTATAATTCTTATGATTATTTGACGATATTACAGAAATCATAATAATTTGTTTGAAAACATTTAATATTCTTCGAACATTTTATTACGGTACGGGAAGTTTCAGCAATTTGCCTTAAGGCACGATGCCATCCACCACTAGTTTTTATTTAATTTGTCACATCAAAATGGTTGATCATATGTATAATGAAAAAGAAATGTGTGTGTGTAAATGTAAATATATAGACATAGATTAGAACCCAAGCCTTTAAAACTCGATAAAAACTAGTCAGCAAATAAATTTAGTTGAAATAGAAAGTAAATAATGAACATAGGCGTTTTATAACGGATGAAGCAAATCTTATCAATTGCAAATATTACTTCAACTATTTATTTAATATTCAAAATGTTGAAAGTCTTATATCTTCATTGTCATTATTTCAATTTTAAAATTCTCTCATTAGTATTAAATACAAATGAGTGTCAAAAATTCTTAAACACGATTTTGTCACAAAGCTAATAATATTGTGCCCAGATATGACAAACTATCTATATCTATATATTAAATACATTTTTATAATATGATTATCAGACAATATTTCTTCTTAACGACCTACATAAATTGCCGCTTTAGTATCACGTTTTGTTACTGTTTTTTGGTTTTAACACACATTCCGAATGTCTTACATACTCATACAGAATGTCCAAAACTTTCTACATTATTTATATGTTCTCGATATCTCCAATTTGACATGTTATTAATAAAAATTCCACGGTAAAGAATATTAATAATTAAAAGTGATAAAAATACGTTGTGGGTTGTGGGTATATCTTAAATTGCTTCAAAATAATAATAACGCAACATTTTTTGTATACAGAATTTATCATATACCAGCATTTTAGTACAAATTTAAATTGATATTTTCTAGAACTATAATTAGTCATTAACGTATTTGTACTCAAATAATAATAATAAGTTTTTTTTGACAATTTTTTTCTCATTCCTAAATGGTTAGGGAAAAGTCCCCAAGTGGCGGACATCTAAGGTTATTTATAAATAAATCAAAAAATATTTTACGAAATGTTTATTAAATTATGATTTATGTTAGATAACAAAGTTTAAATTAAATTTGAACTAAATTAACAAAAATCGCAATCTTTGCTAAAAAATAATTAATACTATCAATCAAACTTTGCTATTAAAAAATATGATTTCAAACAGTGGCACCTAATACCGGACATTTCAAAATAACCTGCATTGATCACATATATGTAGCTATCTCCACGCTCTGAAATGTCTGCACATGTGTCTTTGACGATATTCTTAGATATTGCAAAAAAAAGTCACTTTGCGTCCACCCGGTGCTTGGTGCCGTCCGGCGTTACGGGACTTCCCCTTACTATTTTTCCAGATCCATTACCTTCTATTAAATCACTCGAACAAAGACATAAAGTTTATCAAAATTAAACGTGCCGTTTAAAAGCAATTCAGTGACATGTGCTCGTGCAGTAGATTTATATGTTTGAAATATTTAAAACCAGATTTTTAATTTTTTTTTTTATTGTAACTGCCTTGAAGATTTTGTACACATATCTCAACATCAATGTTTAAAAACAACCCGATATATATATATATATATATATATATATATATTTGTTAATCATACACTTAATAAAAAAATGTCTTAAATCGGGAAGTATCTGGTACGTCCATGAAAGATATTGCAGGTGCAGATCTGTGACCTCTGCGGGTCTCTGGATTTTTTCCATTAATAGTTGTGCGATTAAAATCCTGAAAATTATTGTTATAATTATAATTAATAAAATAATAGTAATTAGTTATACATCACAAAAATTACCAAAAAAAAAATTAAGAACCCTTTTGTAAAGATAATGAAAAGACTGATTCCACTACATACATGTAGGAGTCTTGTGCGATGATTTTAGGCGCTTCATTAATTGTTTTCGACGTGTTATAACTGATACGAGAGCCCATTATATATATATATATATATATATATATATATATATTTAAAAAATTAACTAGACAAAACCTAATGTTGAATAATGATTTCACCTGCGCATACAAAGCGGAGCAGGACAATCTTGCCCTCTGATGAAGTTGCTTCAAATAAACATGTCCTGGACTCAGTCCAGTAGTGGAACCCAAAATTAAATCAGGGGCATCTAGAGGAACTGAAATAATTGAATATGAACAAAATAATAATAATAAATCGCAAACATAGTCTGTATAATTTATTAAACATTATTATTTTTATCAAATGTAATCAATATGATTTTCACTTTTTTTTGCATATCTTACGTACAATTCAAAAAAATTTTAATAAAACTTGTTATTGAACAAACTAGTTACACGTAGTCGGTACATAAATTTTAAATTCCAGTATATTATTAAGAATTTTATTTAAAAAAAAATCTAAACTTAAAACAATATTTTGAATTACATCTTCTTGTTGGATAATTTCATTGTTAGGTAGATGAAAAATTCAAGGTAGATGGAAAATTTTTTGAAATCATTTGGAAATACTATATATTTAGAAACTTACGTTCGTTGTGTAATAAATCTTCATCTGGAATTCCATTAACCATTCGTTGTCTTATTCTTTCTAAACGTCTGTCTCGATTTTCACTTAGGAGCCAATATGTTCGCAATTCTCCTTTTCCCTTAAAGTAAATGTTATAGAATAGTGATAATTTCAACGATAACAACGGTAATCAATTATAGTTATATAGTAGGATATTATAATTAACAATCAGTTGGTTCATCTTCAGTTTGGTGACAAATATAGTAATATCATTATGAGGGTAAATAAAATTAATTTTGTGTATATTTATGTATAAGATAAACATATCTAGCAGAAATAATACGATAAATACTTTTTGATCATAATTAGAAATATTCTGATTTCCATTTATGAAAAATAAATTTGTTTCTTTGCGCTTTTAGCACTCAGTTGTTCAATTTTCAATCTATTTAATATTTAATAGTAAAATGGAGAAAAACAATTTGTGAAGGAAAATGAATTAGATCTATTTAGATCAGTGATTTCCAAAGTGATCCACATGGACCCCCAGAGGTCCATGGCAACTTTCAAAGGGTCTACGGCAGCGAAAACAAAATTTGGGGTCCACGGCATATTTAGAAATGATTTAAACTTTAAATGTTAGTATTGAGCGCGGAGCCAGCCACCCATTAACCTCGCATATCTTAAAAACTATTGAATGATTCAACTTTAAATTTTTGTCAAATAATTAGTAAAGTGTAGTAACAATGTATGTCAAGTTTCATCAAAATCGAATTATGCATTTTTGAAAACGAACAATCTGTTTCAATACCAGTATTGAGAGCGGAGCCAGCCACCCATCAACCTCGCATATCTTAAAAACTATTGAATGATTCAACTTCAAATTTTTCTCAAATATTTAGTAAAGAGTAGTAACAATGTGTGTCAAGTTTCATCAAAATCAAATTATGCATTTTTGAAAACGAACAATCTGTTTCAATACCAGTATTGAGAGCGGAGCCAGCCTCCCATCAACCTCGCATATCTTAAAAACTATTGGATGACCAACTTTAAATTTTGGTCACAAAAAAATAAAAAGAAGAAAAATATGAATTCGGCTCCGAATTGCTTCCACTTTTACCATATTCTCTAGATCTGTTCCCCAGCGACCATATACCGATCTCAGATCTCAAAAGGATGCTTGCTATGAAGAAACTTTTACCAAATGATGAGATGATAGCTGAATTTTGTGGCAAAGTACAAATCGTACTAAAAATATGGTTTCAAAGAGTTTCAAGTTTGCTATAATCGTTATATCGTCTTTGAAAAAACCATATTGCTTAAAAAAAGAAATTTGCCAAAAAATTGGTTTTTCTTAGTTATCCTACGGATTTATTGAGTGACATGAATATATCGCTTCTAGATATTTGATGGGTAGTTGTAATTTTAGTAACAAGCACTGCGAAGATTCGATTTGAACCTATATTTTTTGAGAACGCGGCACAATCCGCGTCAAAAATCGATTTTATGAAAACTCGGATCACTAGATGGAAATCCGCGACTGTTCAGGCGAAACTGGTACGTGTGGTCACTTTAATATAAGGGGTCCATAACAAAACAAAAAACATTGCAAGGGGTTCACGGCATAAACAAGTTTGGGAACCTATGATTTAGATCTTTCATGCGATTGATCTTATAAAATTACCTTGATAAACGTTAATCCTCTTTCTTCGCATCGAAAACCACCCAAAGCTTCAAGCAATCTAAAACTATCAGCAGAAATGTGAATGCGCAAAGCTTCGCCTGTGCTTTCCATACGAGATGCTGTATTTACGGTATCTCCGAATAAGCAATATCGAGGCATCTTCAGGCCAACTACTCCGGCCACACATGGTCCTAGAGAAACATATTTATTATAAACATTGTCTCCAATACTAATCACTTTTTATTTATTATCGATGAAGTAGGGTAGAGCGGGGCTAGTTGAGCATGAGTAAGCCTCACGGGCGTTTTGTTTATTTTGAGACCAAAAAGTAAAAAAGTAATTCATCACGAGTTTTTGTCTGTTTAGTCAAATGTTATTTATTTTTAATCAGGTAAATGTTATTCTTTAATATAATTATAGCACTCTTAATATGCACAGAGATTCTGGGTATAATTCTCACTGTTTATTTATAAACTCACTTATATTTTGAAATTCCCAATTGGGGTTAGTTGAGCATAGTTGCTAAACTTGTTTTGTCACTAAGACGATTACCATTAACTTCCAGAACTTAATTATTATTTTTAAGATTTAGGCTAAGTCTATGAGTAATAATATAAAGAAATAATGATTTTAAACAAAAATATTGAATATAATGGTAAAATCATTCCTAAGATACGATATTGTTTTGTTGATTCTACTTTTCGTTAATTATTCAAAGCAAATTACTATAAGTTATATTTTCTCTGTCAATAAAGACTATAAATATAGAACTGGTTATTAAAAATTTATTTTATTTCATCACTAATCGACATTGAACCTATGATTTCATTATACTTGCTCAGTGCTCAACTTGCCCCACCTATGGGTTACATTGAGCATACTTGACTTTTTGCATTTAAACAGCTGTGGCTTTTAAATTTTACTTATTACCAAAAAATAGTATTAACTTTTGTTAAGCAATAAACAACAATATTATGCCGTATAGCAATTTATTGAGACTTTTTATTGAGGAGCTACATACGTTTAAGTAAAAATTTGCTCAACTAGCCTCGTCCTACCCTAAAGCAATTTTAAAAGCACAAACATCAGGTAGAGATCCACTTTTATTTTCACCTGAATGAATTCCAATTCGAATCTGTAGTAATTCACCAGGAAGATGTCGAACTGGCAAAGTTCTGATTTGATCCAAAATGTGCAAAGCCATAGAAGCTATCTCTGCTGCATGGCTAATACCATTTCTGACAGGTAGTCCTGAAACTACCATGTAAGCATCACCTATAGTTTCTACCTAAAATGGTAAAAGTCAAAACAGAGTTGAGAGATGTTTGATTAATTGGAATAACATCATTGTGTTCAATATTTTTTTACTATCTCACCTTGTACACATCGTAATGTGATATTATAGAATCACAGCACGTATAAAGATCATTCAACAAGTCTACGACTTGGAGAGGAGTGCTACGAGCTGATAGCTCAGTAAAACCGACTACGTCGCTAAAATATATGGTGACACTGGAAAAGCTCTCAGCCTGCACTGGTTCACCTCGTTTGAGCGATTCAGCCACTGTTCTAAATTATTATGTACCAAGTTATTTGTGGTTGCAGAATTTATGTTACGATTTTTATAATTTTTAACTTTATAATGAAGATATAATTAAACTAACAAATAAAATAAAAGCAACTTTAATAGAACATACGAATTGCTCGATTAATTGGAGCAAACTCTTTGGAGAGTAAAAATTTTGAAGTATGCAAAACTTATAATTAAAACAATAATAATACACATGAGTAATCGATTTTTTTTTTGTAATCGATAAATAATCATTTTCATACTTTGGTAGCATTCTGTGTAACAACGCTTCTGTTTTCTTTTTTTCAATTGTCAGTTGATTTGTCCTTTCTTGAACCAAACCTTCCAAATTATATGCATATTTGTCCATGATCGCTAGCATATTATCAAATATGTTTGGTTTCCTGAAAGTCAGAATTTAATTTACTATTCAAATAATCACTTATACCTGAAATTATATTTATGTTACTAACAATCCAGCCTGCATTTCTTTTAATTTCACTCTAACGAATCGAATGTCTGGTCTTAAATCAGGATCTTCATCCCAGCATGCTTCTAGGCATCGAAGGACATATCCTTCGACTGCCAAATTATGAATTGGTGGTCGCAATACCATACCACCTAATGCACTGGCTCCAGATTTGACACATGCAATAATTTCTGCAAAAAAATAGTTCCAAATCATATGAATTTTGATATGGATTAACATTTTTAAAACTCAAGAAAACTTCACATTCCATTTTCATATAACTTCAAGGAAACACTTTATGTGGTATAATTTGTTGCTGATTTCTATGGCTTTACTCTCAATTTCTAATTCGTTATGAAATGATAATAGAAACAATAAACAAGGGAGAGGGAGGAAATCATTGATTTGTGGTGCAAATCATGGATTTGCCCACAGTTAGACAACTATTTATATTAATATTAGAGCATAATTTGTAATAACTTATATATTATTTCGACCAATTCTTATGCAGATAACTTCTTATTTTAATTTTTATACCAACCTTCATCTGTCATTTCTAAGGAACCCCAAGGACCATTTCTACTTAAAATTTCGTACAAGACAATTGCAAATGAATATACGTCTCCTTTCTGAGTTCCTCTTGCTGGAACAAACTCACCTCTGAGTAATTCAGGTGCCCGATACAGCGCCCTTTTTATATTTCTGAAATAAAAAAAAATTTGGTTATCAAATTGATATCGCTTTATTACATATTAAGCTTTTATGAATATAAAATTATTTATAAGATAGTACTTGGCATTTTGATCAGGCTCGTCTTGGCCTGCTTTAAATTCATGAAGACCGAAATCTGCTATCTGCAAAACCCATTTTGAATCCACTAAGCAATTACTTGACCGCAGATTTCCATGTGAAATAACTTCACTATCATGTAAATATATCATTCCCTAGAAGGACATAAAATATTAGTAATCAAAAGTACAATTATAAATCATTCTGATCATAGATAAGTTGAAAATATTAATAAATTCATCATCTTAAAACTATATTTTGTTCCATTTGTTTTATTATTAATTAAGCCAAATTAAGGCGAGGTGAAAATTTATGTTGAAATTTGGTATTTAAATTAGATACACTAATAAAAAATTGTTTTTTTGAATCTTATTATTGATCAAATAACTAGTGGTGTATAACATCGTGCCTTAAGGCAAATTGCTGGAACTTTCCGTAACAAAAATTATTTTTTTAAAAAAAGATTAAATATCTTTTAAACTATTAAAAAATTAAATTTTTGAGACATTTGGAAAAAAATGTTTTTTTTAGTTTGAAATATTAAATAATGGCACTGCTTTAGCTGTAAACAAAATTGATACACATTATTAAAATTTCCAAAAAATATCTGTTAATTATGTGCATATGTCTAATGATCATTTTTGACCACAAAATGGTATTTTTTTTACTTCTTTTACTAGATCTCCAAAACCACTAGGCCTGCCTTCTCAAAAATTTAATAAGTAGTTCATTGTGTCAATACAAATAAAATGTTTATTGAAGTATTAAAATTGGACACTCCGTTCTTTCAAAAACTGAGTTACAGTTTTTGGGTACTTTTTGCCCCGTATCTTCGAAACGGATAGACCTGCCTATGTCAAAAACTAATCAGCACGTCTTCTTATTAATAGGAATCAGAAATAATGTTTTTTGAATAATTGAAATCGGTTGAACCGTGTTCCCAAAATCATCGACGAAAAGTTGCATCCGCACACACACATACATCTATTTTTTCTAAAGTATGCCAAAATGTTCAGAAACCTCTAGAACGTAAACATATATAAAATTTCGATTTTTTGCGATTGCTATAACTTGCCCTACGAGAAGTTAGTAATGATTTTAATTATCACAAGATTTTGAGCCAAAAATCAATTAATCTCCATCTACGTCAACGTAATGCGTTTTAAAATAAAAAGTCTTACTTTCAGTATATCGCTGACTAAGGACGAAATAAACATATTATCGAGATGCAAATCTTCGTTAGCGAGAATATCCTCGAGAGAGCCTCGCGCGCAATATCCAGTCAATAAATAAACTGAACCCGGGTCGGCACTCGCCCCAATGAATGGAAGTAAATTATCGTGTCGTACTTCTCTCATCTGGAAAAATTCAATAAAATCGATTAAATACGTTACTAATACAAATTTAATAGGATTTCATAATTTGTTCTACTAATTATTAATTATATTGTAAATCGAGAAATTTGGTAAATAGCTTTAACCAGACAGTTGTAAATATCTCAAGAACAAATCTAGTTAGGAATTTTGAACAACAATATTTGAAAGTAAAATGAAATAGATGAATAGCCAGCCATCACCTTAATTATTGTTTGAAAATCAACAACAAAAGTATTTCCTTTTCTATTTTTTCAATTTTTAATGTTAATTTCTAATAAGACATACTTCAATCATAATAGCATTTTAGTATTTTTTACTAAAATACCATTGTACTTTATTTACTTACTTGTTTCATTTCGCTTCTAATAGATCTCGTTATGTCCACAGATCTTTTATAAATTTTCTTTATTGCTACGATATTTCCTTTATAAAGTCCAATACATGCATAAGCACTATAAAAGTAAAAGATTTTAGTTATATAATAATTTTATACGTTTATACGATAGATACGAAAAAGTATTTTAGACTTGATACGCATTTTGAAATAAACATGTTAAAAAGATATTACTCATTACATATGTATATGTTTTTCGCTGCTTTCGTATATTTTGATTTGATTTTTAAAGTAAAACTTCTTTATTCGCGACAAGGGAGTAAATCTGTACAAAAGCAACGGAAGACCGTTACGCTACGGGTTGGCTGTGATTGGTCGACGTGTCACGTGAGTATGATTGCCTTTATTGTATGCGTCACATACACGTCAAAGCGTGCAATTGTTCGAAATGTTTTCAGTTAATAATTATAGTGAAAATAATAAAACAAGTAAAAAATCTATGTCGTGTCCACTTTATGAACGAATATTATAGAATTTATTAATCAGAAAATACATCATTTTTTTAATAAAGATTCAATTCCTAAATGCTAATTACAATGACAAACCGATCATCTCTGAAGTGTGACTTTAATTACATTATCATTTTCGAACAGTATTTAAAATATTTTTAATGGTATTATAAATATATAATTTATAATTTTTACTATATAAATATGCATACTGGTTGATAATAAAAATGTGTGCATTACGAGTGCTACCATATTACTAATAAACATTATTCAAAATTGTTATATGATGTATTTATTTTTAACTTGAATGCCATATAGTACGATAGCAAATAAGTTTTACTTAAACTTAAAAAATCAAAATTAAATACAATATTTATCTCACCGTTTTGTTGCAGTATCTTGTCCACTGCCAGGAGCTAGTTGCAAACAACTGTGTCTACATACTTGAATCTAGTTAAAATTATTGATTATTATTTATATTATATGAAATATCATTGCATAACAGTTACCAATTACCAAGCTTTTATTTCTTATTGTAGTTTCCACACTCTCTGTAGGAATCACTGTTACATCTTTCATATCGATCTTCCAGAGAAGGCAGGCTAGCTTATGTTCATATCGGTAATGCCTTTTAAATAGTTATAAACAATTTGTAAATACTATTATAATCCAAGAAAACGAGAGATAAAATTATAAAAAAATAATATATTGTTACAAATTCGATCACTACATTAAAATTTGTTGAATTGATTTTCGTAATTTCAGAACATTTTCTATTTACTTAAATCATATATTTTATTATAACAAAGCGCATGATATAAACAATATCAAAATAATTTACAAAAAAAATTTCTGAAATAAAAGTATATATATATAAATATTTAAATATTGAAACGTGTGTGTTAAATGTTAAATGTGGAGTTAATAATCACATATTTAACTAGCAAACCGGGCAAACTCCGTTTCACCACCAGATGGTTTCATTATAAGTAACATTTTGTTTGGTGATTAAAAGATGAAGAAAAAAATTGCCTGCTGTTGAAATTGAATAAAAATTCATACAATGCACGTGATTGATTTGATGGTTTCCAATTGAAATGTTAGGAAACGAATAACTACTTTTTTACTTTTTTTGCACAATCGCACAGTGAACACAATGCTGGTTTGTAACATGCAATTAACTGAGCAGAGAACAATGAGTAGCTGTCAAACAAATGAGTAGCAGTTAAACAGTAAATATCAGTTTGTAGTATATGCTAAGTATCAGAGATGACGCTGTGCGTGAAAAAAGAAAAAGTGTTTTCCGCTGTTCTGTTGAAATCTTTCTTCAATCTTTTTGCTATAAACCTTACGGAGTCCGAGACCTTTCCAACGAATGCAAAATCGTCGAAATCGGTTTGTGCGTTCTGGAGTAATATCGTCAGGAAGGAAAACCCGAAAATATCTATTTCTTGAATTTAATAAAAGTTAAATTTTATTTTATTTTCACTTACTTAAGTAGGAAGATTCCAGCCAAAAGAATAGCTCCTGCAATAAATGCTCCAACTGTGGCCAATCTAGGGTCTGCCCTAAAACCACATCGTTCACCAGTAAAACCGCATGGGGGTTCTGCTAACGGTACGGAACCTCCAAGCCATTGTATCGGCTTATTTTCATCTAAATAGTAAAATTCCTAAAAAATGGATATTTAAAAACATATAAATCTTATTTATTCAGTGAATCATCGATGGATGCGCCTATTATCTGTCAAATGAACAATTTGGTTGGGCATAATTGGAAAATAAAACTAATTATAACTAAATTAACTGCTATATACTATATACGACTAAAACTAGATTTTTTGGACATTTATCTACGATTAAATCGTATAAAAGGTGGATGATGTCGTATCACTTACAGGAATATCACAATCATCCTCATTCCCTTTGCAACTTTTTCGCAGAGATTCATTTTTTAAATTATATCGAAAACATCCCACAGGCTGCATGCTCATTTTTATGTGGTCTTTCATCTGTTTATCGTGCATTAGAGCGACTAATGTAAAGTTGCCTTCGGCGTCGCCGTTTTTATCTATAAATACCTGCAAGTACACATATTTCAATTATTTAGGCGTAAAATATTATGGTAATTTAATAATATAATGCATCGATGTAAAATGCTAAAATATAATAAAATTTATTTTTCAGAAGTTTTGATATTTTGGCTTCTCATGTGAAAAGATAACATTTATATTTTATTCTGTCTTGATTAATTTGAATTAAAATCAGTTTTTATTATTTCAAGAAGCAGATGAAATCGGATAAATTATTACAAAATTGCACAAAAAAGCTATTCTTATCATATAAGCTAGAAAAGTTTCTTCTTATTTATTTCCACCTATTACATTCTGAGCATCAGCAACTCTTTGGTCGAATTTAAAAAATGTCTGAATCGAATGCAAATCCATTGATTGGTCGTCCGGGTATGATGGTGAAAAGGTCTATCTAATAAGATTTTAAAATTCTTTACTTACATCAAATCCTTGTATCGAAGTATAAGATCGATTTAAAATTCTTTCCAAAACAGCAGTGCCATTTTTAGGGTCGCGATTTTCTCGGAGAAGTTCGGTAAGGGCTCTGGCATAAATGATAACCGCGTCGTATAAATAGGCAGCTTGAATAGGCACCTGCATTTAATATCTTTAAATAACATTTGTTACAAACAAATTACAAAATAGAGAAAACGTAAAAACTTAAAAACCTAATTTTAATTATATTTCTCTATCTTTAATCCAATATAATTATGATTAGATATTAAAAACTACAATAATGTAGTTGTATATATAATTTACTAAAATAAAACTATTTTATGAGTAAAGACTGAGTATAATAGCAGTTTCTTTATGCGTTACTTGATTTTGTCTTTTGCTGTCCAAAGATAATATGGAGGTATTTTTATTATCTTAAACTAATGTAAACAATATTGAAAGTTACTAGTACAAATATAAAAAATAATATATACAACTACAACTATATTCAACTAAAAAAAAAAAAAAACAATCAATTTATTTTTTTAATAATAATTTAACAAAATTAAATTCAATTTAATTAACTTATCATCATTATCGAGTATATTGAGTACTTTTTACCAAAATTAAACGTATGAGTAAGAAATACCAAAAACTTATAAAAAATCATATCACATTAATATAATAAACTGTATTGTCTGTATCCGATGTGTTAAATTAGCATAATTTCCAATATTTTAAAGACTTTAAATAAGTATTTTTTTACTAATTTACGATCCGATGTTTTATGAAGATAAATATTAACATACTATAATTGCAGAGTATTTAAACACCCGTATTAATACCGCCGAAAAATCAGGCGACTTACCGGTATTTCGGAATACATAGAATTGTCCTATATTCTGATTGCCATTGAAAATAAAATTAAAAAATAATTGTCTTTTATTTGTGGAAATTTCATGCATTTCACTTACTGATATGCTACCGAATATTTTTTCATGATACGGAACACAAAATGGTGGATTTATCGATAGTTTCTTGATTTTTTGGCAAACCTCGCTGTAAAGGAGAAGATATACACATTTTAATATCTATCTCAATATTTTCATATATTACTAAGCATCATAAGATACAAAAATTAATCAACTTGTACATCATATATTTCTATTTCAGTTTTCACTCATTAGAGTTTAATTTCATAAATGACCATAAGAAATATAAGAATGCCTGCATATCAAATAACAAATTCATCAAGGCATTAGCTAATTACTTCCATAGTACGTTTAACAAGGTCGATTCTCAATGATTCACGAGTGCCTATATTGCGATCGACACATGCCTTAAATTTGTTTTGATAAGTGTTGACCAAAATATTTGGTTTGCTTTGACCATGAACATGCAAAATTAAATTCTGTAATATTTTTTATATTAACAAACCCGTAGTACTACATATTTATGGTATACAATTTGTGGTACTATATCTTATAGAATCACATATCGAACCAATTTTAACTTTAGGTTCGTAAATTTTTTGTTAAAAATATATATTAAAATTTTGAATGCTTATTATTTTATTATTTTTTATGCTAAATTACTGATTCATAATCATGTAATAAATTATTTATCCCCTTTATTAAAAATGACAACTATCATATTAATTAATTATAAATTAACTTACTGAAATTTTGGATTTCTTGGATGCGATGGCGTTAATTTTAATACTGATCTAAATCCTTTAACATCAGTTGGCGAGAGATGTTTGTTTTGCAAGTAAGGGTCTAAGTAATCTAAAAGATAAATAAGAATTAATTTGTGTTGCATGATATTAAAATTTATATATTAACTTATTGGTATTGGTATTTTGCCTTGAGGCAAGTTACATGAAATTCCTGAAATGTGTTCCCAACTGATATCTTTCGAACAGTTTTTGATTTTTTAAAATCGATTCGGTAGTGGACGAAAAATGTAACACTTTTTCCAAATTTCAAAGGCAGAGAAACGATAACCCTTATCGAGATTCATCAAATGGCTTTTAAATTTCTGAAATCGGTTCAGACGTTTTTGAGCAAACGTCGATGAAAGGTCTAATTTTGACAAATGCCAAAAAAACAATACTAATTTTTGCAAACTTTGATGAATTTTTAAAGCCAAACGAGTTGCCGTAGGGCCGTAATACTTTAATGTGATCTAGAAGACTATGGTAATTACCGTCAGAAAAATAATAATAAAATTTATTGAAATTTTTTTTAACACTTTATTACAAGAAAACGGCCTGGCCTTTACATACTTTTACCAAATTTGGTCTCATTCGATTCAAAATGGCTTGAAACGTCAAGAAAACATAAAATTAGCGTATCGTATTTTTTGATAAAAATATAAACTTCTCTTTCGGGGAGTTAATAATGCAAAATGTAAAGGATTTTGTTGCAAAATGTTTAAATTTATATTTTTATGAATATATTATATGTGAGTTAATTTGACTAAATAAGACAATTAGGCGCAAAAATTTTAAATAGTAAATTCATTGTAATGTATTACTATATTACCTCTTTGCATGAATGTTTCTTTATGTCGTGGATCATAGATTTCATTATCGACAGATATGACAACATACTCTCCATTATCCAACAAATGTTTTGCTTGCAAACATCGAACAAAATCCACTAAAGCTATGTGTTCACCAAGAAAAACATACACTAAAAAATATTTAAAAAAATTAAAAATATCAAAAATATATGTAATAAATTATTAGTATTCTTATTTTAATACAGAACAAATACTTAGATTTTTTATTTCAATCAATTATATGCCAATATGTTTGTCTATCAATCTACAATTTAATTTAAAATTTCTCAATTGAAAGTGTATTTGATAAACTTCTGATGATTTGTTATTCCATAAAATACCTCTAGTACTTCTATAAGTCTCCTTCACAATATTTTCCATCTGATGTATATGTTGGGGTATATAATCGGTATATTCTTTGGTTGCTGCGATTGTAATGTCATTGTACATGCAAATATCCTGAAAAGTATTTTTCTGTGACAATGAATAATTTAATTGAAATGTAGCATAAAATAGAAAGAATAATCAATACATTGAATTTCATACTGAATATAATTTTTTTTTGAGATCACAATAATTAATTTAAATACTATGATATTATTGAAAATATTAACTAAAGTTTTGTACGTATTTCTTTTTACTGAATGTGCATAAAATCAGGTTGTTACATAGTTCATTTGAGATAATGAGTCAATTAACTACCCAATATAATTGATGATAATCAACTCTTTTTTGATAGAAATGTTCGAATATAAGTTTAAGTAATTGTATGGAAACTTGATGTCTGGATAAAAAAAATATTCGTATCGATCTAATTTTTTTAAATATAATTTAAAAAAAAACTTATAAAAATATAAAATTATAGACAGTAATTGATAAAAATTAAATTAATTCAAAGCAATAAAATAATTGTTATATTCAATCATAGCATGAGTAGACTAGTATTAGTAACAATAAATAGACAATGCTAACTAATACAAAGAGATGATAAAAGTTTTTTCGAATTAATAGGCAACTTCGATGAACGCCTGGATTTTAAAAACGATTTTTGCAATCCATGTTAATGCATTAACACTTCTAAACATTTTTTTATTTACTAAAGAAAGACGTGAAAATTACAATGATATAAATATTAATTTCTATTATTCTTTTGTCGTTGATCTAATATAAATATGGTTAGGGATTGAAATTCACAAGAAATCAATAAACAATTATTTCAAAATTATTTGATATTTGAAGTAATTGAATTCATTTATATTCTTGGGCAAATTTTATTTGTTTATGTGAAACGCAAGAACTACAACGATATAAATTTCAATATTCTATTATATACTATCATCGTTGTTTCAAAATAATTATGATTTAGAGTCTATAAAACAATAATAAACTAGCGGGGCTCGTGGCATCGTGCCTTAAGGCAAATTGCTGGATCTTCCCTTTTTTATTTTGAAATAATTTGGAAGTTCTGAACTTTTTTTCAAAGCAATCGTTCTGCAACTGCATAGAGACGAAATATGGAAGCGTCGCCGTCTAACGGATAAACATTGGTACGGAACCCATAATGAACAAAATTTATACTAATTGTTAAAATCTCTATAAAATCTCTAATAATTCGATGTGCATATGTCTATTTTTAACCGCCAAATGGCATTTTTTTACTTTTTTCACCAGATCTCCGAAACCGCTAGACTTTTTTAATCAATTCTTCATCTTGTGAATGTGAAAATGTTTTTTTGAATTATTCAAATCGGACGCTCCGTTCTCTTAAAAACTGAGTTACCGTTGCCCCGTATCTTCAAAACGGCTAGACCTGCTTGTGCCAAAAACTAATCAGCACATCTCCTTATCAACAGCAATCGAATGTTTTTTGAATAATTGAAATCGATTGAACCGTGTTCCGGAAATCGTCTAAAATTTGTATCCGCGCACTAATACACACACATACACACACACATACACACACATCACACACACACATACATGCATTTTTTTAAGGTATGCCAAAATGTTCAGAAACTTTTGAAACGTAGAGATTATTAAAGAATTATCATCAATTCCTAATGGTTTCTAATCTGTTAAAAAAATGACAATTTTAAATATATTACCTTGATTTAGAACAATTATAATATAAACTTTGCAATTTTTTTTGTCATGCATAATTGCCTTGAATTAAATAAAATTCTATTTCTGACCTTGATGGCATCCTTGAGTTCACTGCCCCAAGCCGGCCTCGAGCCCGCCACAACGACAATACGGGTCCATTGGAAAGCCAACAAAAGCGAAACTACACTTTTCGAAACTTTTGATGAAGGCGGAAGAGTGCGAGCGAAACTTTGATAAACCTTCTTGTTGGACACTTCCGTGTCAGAGCACTTCTGTAATTTAGGTCAAAGTGTTAATTTTTAGCAGTACCGATTTATTTCGCGGTGTAAACAAACTTTGTGAATACTGTGGTGTGCGAATGTTTAATTTCGTTATAACTTTAGCGTTAACGTGCTGTTTTGAAAAAGTTTTTAATTGCATTCCGGATTTTGATGTTGATTTTGGTAATTTTCCTTACTGATTTTTCTGTTTAATATATTTGTGTAAAATTATATTTGTTTCATCACAATCTTACTCAACACATATATTCATATAAAACAAATTAGGTAAGAAAGAAATTAGTAAGTAAAAATAAGTATATATATATATATATGTTTAATTTGAGTTTAATAATCGGGCGTAACATCAATAAAAATAGTATGAGTTTTTTTTTTTTTTTTTTTTTTTTTTTAAATTTATTTATTTAAAATCCATACGTTTCGGCTAGCATCTTAGCCATCATTCAGTGTAATCAAGTTAACTATAAAAATTGAAACTAAATAAATTATATGAAAGGAATTTTGTGGAAAAACAATAATAATAATAATGGTAATAAAACACTTACAATTTGTATCCTAATATAGCATATGAAACCATTATTAATCCATGGTATGAGTATGTGCACATTGATAAGATATATATTTTTAACACAAACATCACAAATGGTAAAACACACTAATAATCATGATAACTTAACAAGTTGTCGAAACTATGTATTTACTCTTGGAGTTTAGGATAGAAATGCACATTTTTCTCAAAGCAGTTTTTAGCATGTGTTGATATTTTTTGGAAAATTTAAAAGGCGATGGGATTTTGTTATTTTTTAAGGAATTTTGACACGCTATTAAGAAACCGCGTGTTCGTTTCGATAAGGGCCGTATTGTCATTGCGTTTATTTATGACTCTGTCGTTATGTAATTGTAAAACAACCCCTCAGCGAATCTTCTTTTAATTGTATTCTCTTCAAAATGTAAAATTTTAGGGTTAAAAAAATCGATATTATGATTTAAATTTTAATATGCTCAGTTAACATTGTTTTAAATTGCTTAGGATTTTTTGAATTATTTTTGTGTTGATTAAGGCGTTTACTCAGGTTTTGGCTAGTTTCTCCAATATAAAAGAGTTCGCAATTAGAGCAATTAATTTGATATACTAAATTCCTGAGGCGGTCAAAATTGAACTTAGATTTCATTTGTGTAAAAATTGAACTAAGGGTTGCATCACAATTACATACCAACAGAATGCCACATTGTTGAAATAGTTTTTTCCACGAGAAATATAAATCTTTTACGTACGGTAGGCAAATGACACCAGTATATGATTCTAAGTCTAAGCGGTTTTTATGATCTGTGAGGTCTTTTTGTTTGTTAAAAATGTAACTGCGTCTGTTATTTATGACCGAGTTGATTATGTTCGTAGGATATGAGTTGTTTTTCAGTGTGTTTATAACCAGGTCAATGTTCGTGTCCCAGAAGTTTTTGTCAGATAGTAATATGGCGTGGTCTGTTAAATTTATTATTGTCGCATTTTCATTTTAAGAGGGTGGTATGAGTGGTAATTTATGTATCGTCCGGAGCTAGTTGGTTTCTGGTACCAGTTAGTAATTAGTCGGTGGTCATTTGTACGTATGAGTCTGATGTCTAGAAAGCTAATCGAATTCATTGTCTCTAATTCTACGGTAAACTGTAGTTTTTTATTAAAATTGTTAAAATTATCAGTAAATATGTTAATGTCTTCTTCGGAATACAAGTAATGATATCGTCTACATATCGGTAATAAAAGATTTGTTTATTGTAATTATTAAAATTTTGTTTTCTACTAATTGTAAGGAAATTTCTACTAAAGACGGAGATGCGGAGATCCCATTGGGGTGCCAAAAATTTGGTAATAAAATGATCCATTAAATTCAAAATAGGTGTTAGAGACAATGAATTTGATGATTTCTCTAAACCAATGTAAGGATAGTGTGGTGTG